AACAGTAGGTACATCCAAAAAGTTGCATGATGAATTATAGAGATCCTGGAGTACCAGACTGCTTGACCTATAAGGAGTCAGCCTATTTTCTCATCATTTCCAGTTCTAATCTGTTTATAACAAATGTTTTGATATGTACATATATATGCACACAGTGCTTGCTTTGGATCTGGGTTCACCACCGCCTATTAGCTGCGTGGCCTAGGAAACTCACTTAACTTGAGCTTCAGTTTCCTTGTTGGTAAAATGGACCTCATGGAGTTGTTGTGACAATTAAATGAAATAACATAAAAGCAAGTTGTGCGGAGCCTAGCCCATAGTAGGCAAGTATTTTTGTGAAAATTGTATACATGACTTATATACAGTATTGCTGATTTAAAGCACTTTATGGCAACACTTTGAAGATTATATAATTATAATTCCTTAGACCGTATTTTGGGTTTTAAAGGCCTCAGAGAATCTGTCCTCCTGATGGCAGTCAGGTTTATTATGTTCATGGACTCATGCGTTCAAGGTGCAACAACTCCCGCTACTTCCTCTTCTCTGCTCTTCTGTCTCTAAGATGGAAGACATGGTTTATGCTGTGGTTTGTGTATGTGTTGTTTGTCTTTTACCCTGACTCTTCTCCAGTGGACGCTCTAGGGAATTGTTGGTTTAATCTGACTTCAGAAGCCAAGCATGTGACCTTGCTGCCCTGTGTATAAGTTAGTTTTTCATTCTGCTTTGATGGAAAAATTTCCAGCTGTAAGAGGGCAAGTATTTTGGTACTTGAGGACCATCATAATCTGCTGCTATGTAATTTTTTTGCTATTTCAGTACAACCTAATGCCCTAATCTAGCCTAAGAGGTTTACTCTGTATTTCTGATCACAACATGCCTGCTGCCTTATTAGTTGTATTTGGTTTCAGTGATACAACCCATCTCCCATAAAATTACAGAAAGATCCTGTGCCCAGCTGAGGGTTACAGATTTCAACCTTTACTCCATTTACTTGTTAGCTGTGCAGCCTTGAGCAAATCACTGCCTATCTCAGGACTTTGTTGTGAGATTCAAATGAATAACTATAAAGGGTTATTTTATTAACATTGGATTTCAGAATATGGTTAACTGTCATCATAAAGATAAATAAAATTTTTATTCTTTGAATACAGTATTTTAAAGCTTAACATGTTTATAGATAAATTTTTAAAAGCAGCTGAAATTTTATCATTAATTTTTATACTGTCTTACGACTGAGGTAATTATCTGAATAATACTCCAATATATATGAAACATTAAAAATGAGTTATAAATGTTCATGACCAAAAACATTAAATCTTTTGTAATAGAAGATTTCTTATCCGCTGAAGCACTTTCAACTATATAAAAACGTTAGGGCAATTTCACTTACTTTGAAAATTATTTTCCTGCACTTTGTGGAAACTAAATTCATATTTTTCTCTGAATTGATTTTAGAAGGGCTTACACATCCCCTTATGATACCATGGATCATCCCAAAGCTTTAGGATTGTGCCCACTGTATTGTGGGATGTATGGAAGTGGTAAAAGCATTTTCACTAGTGAAAATAGCATTTGACCTGAGTTCTTGCCTTTAACATTTACTGCCTTGGACAAATTTTTCAACCTTTCTTATTTAGCTTTTTCATCCCACTCAGCAGAAACGTCTCATCAGCTCATAAATGGTTGTGATTCTCTTGAGCAACTGGTTGGTTTTTAATCTTAAAGCCATTATAAATCATACTGAGCAGATTATCTTAATTAATTCATGTTGGCTTATGCCAACTGTAGCAAATGCCTACAGTTTTATAACATGCACTTTGTATCTTAATCTCATTGCTGGCTCTAACTAACCTCCTTATACTAATTTCTTCTCTTTAGCTTAATTTATCTAACCTGTATTTATTTTTTTAATAATTTTGATCTCTAGAATCTGCCTTAAATTCTTGCTGGAGCCACATGAGGAGGGGCATTCAATAAAGTATTCCCATTTCTCAGTAAGTTATTGCAATGTAAATAATGAGTGATACACATAGTAGGTATCATCGGGTTTTTTGTTTGTTTTTTGGCTTTTTTACTGAATGAATATTGGTTATAGCTGCTTTCAGCTGAAGAAAGTTTAAATAGAATTTGGTTTTGAAGGAGAGATAAAGTTTCAAAAGAGCAGATTGGCCCTTTGCCAGGTGTCCAGAAGTTTTCTATAGTTTATAAAAGATAAATGAGTGTATCTGAAAGATTCTTTCTCATCCAGCCTTAAATATGGTAAAATACTCATGTTACTCATCTGTATGAAAGTGTCCATCCATCTTATATATAGCTCACAACCATTTTATGTTCACTAAGTCGTAGAAATGTATTAATGGAGTTTTCTGATCAATGTAATGTGTCTTTGTAGAGGATATTTTACAGGATAGTGTCTCTGGTTTAAGTCATATTTTTAAATTTTTTTTTTTCAACGTTTATTTATTTTGGGGACAGAGAGAGACAGAGCATGAACGGGGGAGGGGCAGAGAGAAAGGGAGACACAGAATCGGAAACAGGCTCCAGGCTCTGAGCCATCAGCCCAGAGCCTGACGCGGGGCTCGAACTCACGGACCGCGAGATCGTGACCTGGCTGAAGTCGGACGCTTAACCGACTGCGCCACCCAGGCGCCCCTAAGTCATATTTTTAAATGAGCGAGGTACAGTCATTGGATTTAGATGTTTAGAATTTTTTTAATGTTTGTTTATTTTTTGAGAGTGCACAAGCAGGGGAAGGGCAGAGAGAGGGGGACAGATGATCTGAAGTGAGCTCTGCACTGACAGCGGCAAGTCCAACGTGGGACTCGAACTCAACCCTGAGATCATGACCTGGGCCGAAGTTGGGCACTCAAACCAACTGAGCCTCCCAGGCACCCCAGATGTTTAGAATTTTTATAATTGTGCTAACGATTTACATTTAACAGCCCTCAAATTTGTAAAAGAAAAGCCATGTTTAACTGGTATAAACTGCTCCATGAACGCAGAATTCAAATATGGTCACTACTCGTTTTTAAATTAGTCTCTTAAACATTCACCTGCTGTATTAGCAGAAAGTACAGTATCTTCCTCTTGGAATTTCTGTTCTCCTCTAAGTTGTCCCAAGAACCTCAGTGGCTTACACAGTGCAAAAGGGTTCACCAGTGACTTCTATATCCAAGATGTGGCGTGTACGTATGTCTTCATGTGCACATGTGAGTCATGCTAAAGTCTCTTCAGTCCACCTCGGCCACTGTGCCTTCCTGCCCACATGGTAGTGGTGTTGAAAACGAGTCTTACCCTGTCCAACAGGAGATGCAGGTTCACTGTTGACACAGATGTCTGCACAGGCCACTCTGGGGCATCAGGGAAAGGTGACCTCCCTCCCCCTCTTCCTGTGCTAAGCTCACTTAGGGTGTTCCATGGTGCCCCATGATTGAACTCCCAAGATTATAGTTTTTCGCACTCAGCTCTTTCAATTCAGATCATGGATGCCTCTCAACTGTTTCTCTAAAAGCAACACAAGCATTGAGTCGGGACTGGTCCTAATATTTACTACCTCATAGCCTCAAACCACATTTCTCCTTCCATCATGGGCTCCTATGCCTTTTTTTTTTTTTTTTTTT